TGCTTTATACTTAAGCGCCGATTAAATTATTTGAGTCAATGTATAACTTAGTTTATTGCCTGTGCAGTCCTAGACTACTTTTATCAACGTTTAAAGTTAAGTAGCTTTCTTATTGAATAAATTACATCACCACATGTAGTGATTTATTTATAGCACAAATCGTGCCTTTTCTGTTAAACGTTCAGTTTAATAAAAAAAGTTTGCTTAATCATTTGAAAGTCTTTGTCGTACTATATCAGATTACTTGCCTAGTAAGTTTTCAGAATATAAATTCATGTATCAGCTCAGTTGCAACCTCATATTCTTACAGTCAGATTTGAAAAAATTTTCCCAATCAACTATGCACGTTTTAAAGATTTTAACAGCTCCAAAAATTTATTTTTCTTGGAATATACTAAAGCAATTTTAAACTGTGAACAGCTTAAGCTTCCCTCTGTTGAAACTCGAATTCTGACATGAAAGTGAACTTAAGACTTAGGTTTAGATACAAATGGAATAATAATGGCCTGAGCAAGAACAATACGTACAAATGCAACTGAGCCTCCAATTCTTCGGATTTGCATAGTTTCGCTAACGTACAGACGTCTTTTGAAATCGTATTGGAAAAACATTTGGAGATTTAGAGAAATATGAAAAATCTAACATACAATTTCCGTAATCAAGAAATGAAAGAAATTTGAACATTATGTGTGTCATGAGTTCGTATATTATATGTATATACTGGTCTATATTACAGCGTATTACCATAAAATTAACGTAAATGTGTCATAAAAAATTAAAGTTTGCTAACATGTTAACATACACAATCTTAACGTGACCTCACATGCAGTAAATGAAAAGTCAAGAAAAGCAAAGAAAAAACGAAAAATAAATTTTTGTAACATATATTTTTCTATTTAATAATTTCCATACTCAACTTCTGATGCCAGTATTGGTTGTTATGAGTATTTACTCAAAAAACAACGTTTGACGATGATGTTCTGAGAGCCAACTCAGCAAATTCACACATTGCTGTAGAGCACAAACTTCCACAATTCTTAGTTTTCTTCAAGTTTAGTACATTACTGTAGCCGTTGCGTAACACACCAAAACGTAAATAATGCTATAATTAATATTACCTAGAGGATCTAAGTGTGTCCTTCTAAATCATATGGAGGGAAAACACTTGCTATGCCATTTATAGCAATTTTTAAAACACTTGCTATGTACCGTAGAGGTTTTAAGCATTTCATTTTTGACAACAATTTTTTTTATGTCTGTTGACTTTAATACGTATTTCACCTGCATTTTTTGTCACCTAAATGAGAATATTAAAGTATATACTGACAAACTGACAATGCGTTTTATAAACAGGCAAACGAAGCTTGTGACTTGTTCTCTTTATATTATTCATAATCGACTATTACATTGTTGGTGTAGTTTATAGCCAGTCGGCGGCTATTAATTGCTAAGAGTTGAGGGAGTTAAAATTCACACGCAGATTTGTATCAACACAGCTTTTTGCCACCCTTGGCATTCAGTGCTCAACTATATTTTCATATCTAATCTCAGCAGTCTCAAGTTATGTGCTGCAAGTTAAATAAGAACACAATCCAGAGATGACAAAATAAAATATATAATTCAGAATTAGTTCTCTTCCACTGAATACATTCTCTATTTTTAACTGCTCTTAATTAGAAAGTATTTTAATTTACAGAAATCGAAATTTATACATCAGCATCATTCAAATATACAAATGTATTTCTTTCTTTCTGAATTTTAATTTTAAACCCCCCAGTCGTGACTCATATCTGCAATTTCGAAAGGCTTTATTGAAGTGAGGGGAGAGTTCACTAAGCTCCTCGGAAAAGCAGGAGGCATGCTTTAGAAAACAGTTCAGCTAGACTTTTAGAGCGCTATCTTCATTGTTCATTGTAAGTAGAGAACAGGAGATCAATTTACTGGACTCCCACGAGATTTGGAATCGGAGGAAACTACGTGCAAGAGGTACAACTCATTTAGAAACATAGAAAAAAAGTTTACTGAAGGTACAACCAAAGAATAAAAGAAGACTCCTGCAAAGGATTGGGTTAAGCCAGAGAAAGGCAAGGGACTACTAGGTTTGTTTAAATTGACTTGCAGAATAAAATAAAACAAACTTGAGACCTTAGTTTTATACGATCAATCAGGTGATGTTAATTCACCGTGACATGAGCCAATAAATATTCATTATCGTAGCACTTGTGATTAGTTAAGAACACTTTATGGCCGTAATTGCATTAATTTGCAGATAAATGTCGCAAATAACAGTATTTCCTTTAGAAATAAAAGTAGTAGCTAATTTTTGCACTTTTTAAACGGTTTATGAGAAAAAACATTACGTGTACTGCTATAAGTAAAAGCTATTTTCTTATAATTTTAAAAAGAATCGTGTGTGTCTAAGAATTGCTATCTCAGAATGCGTAAGCTGTTAATTGCTCTGAATATAAGTAACAGATTACTAATTACTACGCATATGCCGTTAGAGAAGAAACTATGTTCAGTAGCTCAATTGCTACAATGTTTATATTAGTTCTTGAGTTCGATAAGAGGTAGTGGCGAAAGTTATCTACGTGTGCTTGTTTATTTTATCAACTACTGCAGTTTTTATCCATGGTATGAAATGCATTCCGTGCTGTTAAATTTCGTATTATATGAAACATTAAATCAAATGTTTTTTATCTTGCTAATTTAAAATGTGATTTATTTTATTCAATGCTCAGATATTTAAAATAATTTTTTCCTGTGTAGTAAAGGAATTACAACCGTAAATTGTTTCCGGTAGAGCAAATTCATGGTATTTTTGCAGTTTAATTATTTTCTTAGTCTGAAAACGCATATGAAATTCTTAATTTCCAGTTTTCGAACGTTTATTCAGTTGTTCATTTATAACTGAAAAGAAAAAATATTGAAAACTAGCAATAAAAAAATTCTTTTTTTTTCCTGTTTTCAGAAATTAAAATTCTAAGATGTACAAATCCTATGTAGGATGGTATATGATATAGTATTTAATTTTAATTTTATTTTTATAAGGTATTTAATGTCACTCATCAGGTTTAAATAAAAGTAAAGCACGTGTTAGGTCTTGAAATTTAAGCACTTGTTAGGTACTGATGAAGTTGAATACTTACTTTAAATGAATTATGCATGTAATTGACACAAATATGAAGTACATTGGTTACCAAGTATTTCAAATTACAGTTACATGATGTGGCAAATGAGACATTTATTAAAATTTAAACAGTTTTATAATTCGCTTATAAAATGCGTTATAAACGAATGTGAATTGAATTTTTTTAATTTTTAAAGAAATTAATTTTCCCACTTAGACATTTAATTCGAAAACTATTCAATTATCCATAAATGATATCTATTGCAATCTTTAAATATTTACTGGAAAGGAAACGACTGCATCAAAAATAAATACAGGCAATAAGGCAAAACATTTTGAAGGAAATATTTGGATAAATGAGTGATAAAATACATGAATTAAAAAAGAGATTTGAAACTTCGTACATATTTCCATTAACGTAAGAAGAATGCTAAATGTTAGCAATTTCGAAACTAACAAGTAAAATATATTTCTTATCTCTTGAAGTCAGAATTTTACATATATCGTAATATGTGTTACATTAATGAAAAAATAAGGTACAGTACAAGATTATATTTATAGACGAAAGGAAAGGAAGTAATGAAGAATTATTAAACGATTAGTAAGTATTGCATCATTATTGCTGAAAGTAACTTTTCACTTACCTGAAAAAGAGTGTAATGAAAGTTTAAAATCAATTTCAATGGTTTTATTCTTAGTTAAATACATCTTTGAAGCTATTTTATGTTTCACGTGTATGACATATTTGGTGATCAGAGTATGAATTATTGAATAGAACAGACGTTTTTCTCCCGGGAGTTATATTATCATTATTGAAACTAGCTAAATCAATTTAGTTCTTAGAAATTAGATTACATTTCCCATTCAAGAAAATGCATCAAATTATTTCCTTTAATTTCAGTAGGAATAAACATTCTCAGTGCAAACGCAAATGAAAATGAAATAAAGAATTCTTAAAATCCATTAAAATAATCTCCCCCACGCAAACCTATCTTAATTTGAGAATTCGCAATTATATTGGATATCAGTTATTAGCGAATATGTAACCTGCAAAGCAAGGGCTATATCTCCTGGTTCCAATAACTGTGTTTGCCCCTTTACGTTTCTGTAGCATTCAGATGCTGGCTCAGTCCCTAGGGAAAGGCTTTGTTGTATAATTTGCGGATGCTCTGCTGGATTATGTTTCCTGCAGTACAGCTTCAATAATTCCGTTCCTAAATTGAGCGCAGTGCATTGGAATTACAGAATAATAAGAATGCTCTAGCAGCTGTAGACGAATCTAAAGCAATTAAGCATTTTGCCTGAACTATTAAGCATTAGAATAATCTCATATTTATCAAAGCATCCTTTGTTTGCGTTTGGAGAGCATTTTGAAGATTTTCCTTTAAGGAATCTATTGATATTCTGATCTGACAGAAACAAGCATTTCCGCTTATCAGCTTAACAGATGAAACATGGGATGCGAAAGCGTTAGAGCAGATACAATATAAAGGATGGAATATATGCTCCGTTGCCTGGATGAATAGTTAGAACTCAGTTATTAGGGTTCCGAATATTGGATTATTTCATATAGGTGTTATTGTATATTATTCAATTAGGAAATGATATCCCAGCTGCACGTTGAAGTTAAACACGAGGAACCACGAGTAATGAGTATCGTTTGAATACTTGGATTAATAAATCATTGTTAAATAACATAATGTTAAGTAACATAAGTCGAGTAAATATAATTTAGTTACTGAAGGATTTAAATATAACATACATCTTTATAGTACAGCAGAAATATTTAATATGAATATATGTATTTTAAACATGAAATTAACATTAAGCAAAGTAAATGAGCAAATTTAATCGCTTCTTTTCTTTTCAGAATCAAAATATTTGTATCCAGCACTGGAAAGTACAGCCATCTCCCGAGCAACCGGGGTACTTTATGGATTAAATTAGTCCTGTCTAAAACGTACATTATATTTGTTTATTTTGCAGCTGTGAGAAAATTACAGTACCAGTACAACAGCGTAAAAATGCCTACGTAAAATACAAAAACAAAGAGAAATGTGTGAGTGTTAACAGCAACGAAAGCAAATGTTTCAAATCCTTGCAATCCTAAAAAAATGTAAACAAACTGTTGATGGTATTTTTTATTAATCATAATATGGGCTATTTCTCTTTGTTGTGCTTTTTTAACTGCTTTCGAACTAATTGCGATTTGAAATTAATCATGGACGTCATTCCAGGCATTATCTCAGTTAAACGGGATTTTAGGTACAACGTTAAATTAATCGACAAATAAAGGAAAGATAAATATAACTGGTTTAGAATTAACATCCTGTAATCCATGACTTAATTACCTTATAATAATTTCCACGAAATTATTTTAAATATTATTAAAATAAAAGTGATTAAATGCAAGTTAACATTTTTTTATATTATAAGTGAAGAAACCTTTTCACATAGGTTTAGACAAAGTGGAATTATTTAGTTTCTCATTCTTTTCATAACGCTTGCTTTAACTTTACTACTTCTCTTGGTCAAAGACTTCAATATTTGTGCTGTTTTTAAACTTTTTGTATTCATTTATTTCCAGTTTATGCACAATGTTGATTTCTGTTCCATCTCGGTAAAAGTTACAAAGAGTCGTGATTAAATCTTTCCAGTGAGTATTTTTAAACCAAAGAGAAAAATAAAAATCATTGCATTTAAAAAAGAGAAAAACGAAGAATGTTAACAAGCATATAAGCTAGATTATAAGTCATTAGTGCAGGTTCATGAAATTCTCTCAATCAATCTTTTATCAGCCTTTGCGGAGATAAAACTTGATCTGTAATTGCAAATTAATAATTAATAGTCCCATCCACAGCCGTGACTGGATATTTCTTTACCTGATGCAAACAAGAAAACGTATGCCCCTGCGCATCAACAAATTAAGCATAGTTTGTAGATTTTCCGATCGAATAATTTTTTATTTAAATTAGAGTATAATAATTTTAACAATACATTTAGCAGTAACTTTTCATATGCAATAAATAAATTTGTAAAATTATTCACATTTAGGAAAAGAGTGAGAAATTACTTGTCCTAATAATTGGTCATAACACAGTTATTCCAAAAACTAATGCCATAAAAAAATTAATGCAAAGAAACAACTCTAATTTTTAGAAATCTTTAAATAATTATTTACTTTGCTTTTTAGTGAAACAGTTTTATCAACAATGTTTTGGAAAATGTTCTTTAGCATTTAAATTGGTTCGATAAGACAAAAATCGTGTTTTACAATTTTATTTCAAGAAGTAACGATCTCATATAAGTTTCTATTATTTATATTTTCAACAGTTTATTTTCATCTGTAATTGAAATAAACAGTAAAATTGAATATATTTTAATGCAATTTAAATTGGATTGAAAGAATTAAACTGCAATCAAGAATCTCCTTAAAATATCTGCATTTTTAGGTACTTTAGTGTCTAGAATTATTAAAACTCTATGTTGTCAAAAGCAGGCATTTATTATGCAATTTTTTCACAACTTTTAAAATTTCAAACATGTGCAATATTATTTCTAGGTTCTGTTTCCACATCTCAACAAACTATTGCGTGACTGTATATAATAAATATATGTAAATTTTCGAATCAGACAAAATACAGTTTCCTACTGACATAGATGTTAGAGAAAATTCTGTGTATTTTAAAGGAACTTGGTAGGAAATCAGTCTTCTTTACAGAAAAAGAAATGTTAAAAGGCTCATGTTTATCAAAATTATAAGAGGTGAATTATCGATGCCTTGAACGAGACTTGCCGCTACTTAACGGGAAGTTAAAATGTTATTTTTGAATAGTTTAATAAGCGTATTTTGAATAATTCAGTTAAGGAGCACTTTTCTTGTTAATGAACGCGTTTCCATCACTAGAAAGCATGATTATATTCGTTCAAAATAATGTCGTTCTTTTAAAATATTTAAAATAATGCTACAAAAATCATAATGCTTGTCAGTGTTACCTGGCAATCAAATGTTATACTAGTACTGGACAATACACGGCATCCAGTGTTGTTTCATATCTTCCACATATGTGATTTTGAAACACACTCTCTTCATTCATGCTTTTGATTCTGGACGTGTCAAAGCATATGATTAACCGACTGGTTCAGCTTCTGGATAACATGAGATGATAAACAATAAACAATGCTTAATGTCATGTTAACTGTAAAATAATAATGTCTCATGTTAATTGTATAATAATAATATCTTTTGGCTCCAACCGTATTTAAGCAAAAAGTTTCAAACTTTTGAAAATATTACGTATTTGTAATGGTTTCTTTGTGCACCTCAGATCTGTAAATTAAGAGCATATTTCATATTTGTATTAGTGAGAATTTCTCTCAGTATCTGAATCTTTCCATACCTTGTAAGTACTTACTTATTAATTACTCACCTTATTAATCAGTATACGAAGGTATTCCCGAGTAAAGTGTGTGAGCGGTATGGACTTCACCCCGTGAGTGATTTGTTTTTTTTTATTTGTTTTACTTTAATAATTATCTTAATACTCAAGCAAGAGTCGTCATTTTAATGTTTGTTGAAATTTGAGCAATTACTTAAATTAATTAATCGATGTGGAAATTATCAGTGTTCTTAAAGTGAATTACCATGATAAATACTTAAAGTTAGAAGATTGAAATGGGAGAAATACTAGTGTTACACTTATGATACAGTAGAATTTGATAATGTTAATCTTAATTAATGTAAGCTGTAATTTGGTGTAGTATTATGTGTTATTTTGCTTAGAAAAATATGTGGTATGTGGTAGGATTACAGATCAGTTATCTATTATTTAATTATATAAAATAGTCAAGAGTTTAATAAATGTGTGTTTAAAATTTAATTGCATTTGTGTATTTATGTTGTGTATAATTTACTGTAGTCTGTCATGTCCCTCCATTTGTTTGAGCCGGAAGGATTTTAAAAAACACGGAGTTTAATTGAATTTGGGGTTATTGATTCTTCCTTTGCATAGGTTATTCACAACGCGAACCTAAAATTTAAAATTGTACTACCACTATACGAATGTTTATAAGAATGTCGATTGATATACGATATGAATTAAATTTGTTTCGAATTATTTGATTTTTAGTTAGTTTTGGTCCGGCACTACAGTCATCAAAGTTCAAAGTTTAAAAAGTATTAAAACACAAATTTTCAGATATATAACATAACCAGCAAACTGCCCATGTTGGTATGGTGATTAGCGAAGCCGACTGCCATATCGTTGGATCCTAAATTGAATCTCAAAGGATACAAGGATGTTTATAATTATACAATATCTTTACTTGCATATGGAAACTTTAAATTTTTCGAGTCGAAAGTTCCTACTAGAGGTTGGTGTTAGAAAAAAAAGGGATCCTATGGCCTTGGACACCAACTCACAGGTAGTTCTCCATCAAGATTGGGATGGCACGTAGCGACGTCATACTGTTTCCAGTTCGATGCACAATACCTTGGTTAATTATAGGAAGTCTTTCGGTCCGCCCATGGGTATTCGTGAGGTTATTTTGGTAGTAATATGCCAGGGTATGGGAATTAGGAGTAGTGATAAAATATAATTGCCGTTATGGAGTAGAGCTTCATAATGTACGAAAAACATGAGAATGCCTTAATTTTTATATGAGTGTATTCCGCTTCAAATATTAAAATACAAAATGGTATTAAAAAACAGCTACTCTTATAATATCATATACATGGTGCCAAATATATTCACTTTCCCATTTACAGCATTTAAAATGTCTAGCAGTATTTCTAAGTAAAGCTCAAAAGATGCAGTTTTATTTCTTCAGTTAAATACACATGTAATTTTCATAAGATAATAACAACATCAGAATAGAAAAGTATTTTTCCTACCTTTAGTGAAATCACGTCACATCTTAAGAAGTTTTTTCTTCAGTGCAATTTTTCAATTTACAAAGTGTGGTAAAACGTACCTAGACAAATAGACAGAATTCATTACAAATTACTCTAACATTATGTTGTACTCTAAAATTATAGACTACCATTTATGTAACTAAAAACATAAAATTTATTCAACAATTTAAAAATCAGTTAATTGATTTATTCTACTGCTGTAAAATTATAAAATTATTTCCTCGTTAGTTGGGAAATTCGAAGTATGACTGAAGCTTATGTTTAAAAGAACATTTTCTGCACTAAACGAAAGTAGAGGCCATTTTTATAAACCCCAATCTGGGCAATTAAGTTCATGTTCTTAAGTCGAGACCGAATCAGTCATGTGGGAGTAGTCTTTTGAGTAGATTTGTCATTTCGGGAAATTATTCGTTCATCAAACGGCAGACGGAGAATGCTCAGTTGATTACAGTTCTCACCATTCACGCCTAAGATCCGAGGACGAGAAAGCTTAAGATTTTAATTGCTCATTAAAATATTTTAATGGAAGATGTTAAAAGAATTGCCGTATCTTCTGGATCTCCAATAACCATCGAAAACTCCGAAATGCGTTATTGAGCAGAATTTAGAATATCTAATGTGATTCAGCTTCACCTCTGAGACAAATAGACCTATATTTCTAAGCATGCAATTGTGAGTAATTATTGGTGATAACAGATTATTCTGGCGCTTCATGTAATCATTACGTACCTTCTGAACACAAGTGTTATTTAATTCTAGTGGTTGTTATTAGCGTTATATTTTGCTTTCCTTGTTTCTGAATATTGTTGTTTAGGTACACATTACGTAATGTGAAAAGAAAATGTCTGTTTCATTATCAAAATGGAGTATGAAATATTATTACGAAATAGTTATTTGGAAAAACATTCATTAATATAATCTTAGCATCAAAGCAGATTATTTGTTTAGAATGTACTTGCGGACTACTATTGTTACAAAGTAAGTATTTCATGAATTCGATGAGTAGTTTTCAGAAGCTTTCATGCCTTATATAAGCACTCATGAAGGGTGTTTACAAACAATGTGTCCTTTAGAGGTAACCAAGATTATAGTGCCACGATTTTCAATGTGCGTTAACTAAGTATACATTGCATTTTATACATCGAACGATATACTTAATCTTGAAAGTAAACATGTATATAACATATTTCAAATGCATAACAGTAAAAGAGAAATTATATTTTAAATGATTTTAATTCGAAATATAAACTAATGATTTTTTGCCTAAGTATGTGAAATAGTTTTAAATAAGTTTTGAAGTATTAGTGTAGAATATTATTAGATCAGTTAGGTTGATGTACAACTTCTGGCTGATTAACTTCTCTGCTTGGCAAAACCTAAATGCATACAAAGAAATAGAGTTATGGGAAGTTTAAAAAAATTCATGTGATGCACATTTAATATCTAAAATGAGATATGGGATTGAATTTAAACCCAGCGAACGTGATTTTACTTATATCTAAATTTTTCGAGAGTATAAAGAGAATGTATCTAAATACAAGGTGTTAAATGTAAAGGTTTGCAGACAGAAACGTTGCCAGCAGAGAATTTGATGAATTAGCAGAATGTATAGCAGTGACAAGATTTAATGATTTAACATTGCTTAGCAAAGACATTGCAAAATGCTTTTACAGAAATTAGCTAAGAAACGAAATATTACGATTCATTTTAATATTAATATCTCTGTCAATGGGACTTAGAATTTCCTGAGGATATACTGGGATGTGACATTAAGCAGTCGGGAATATGTGTTTAGGAGGTTCGGGGGTATTTTGGGATGTCCTCAGGATCTGCGCTTATCACGTAAGCAACAGTCTCAGGATACCCCGAGGACGTTTATGTATTGTAGGGGATTTTAATGTAAAAGGCTGATTATAGAAAGTCTGGCGTTCAGAGTTCATTCATTTCAATGAAAGAAGTGCATTCAAAGAATTTGACAGTAATATAATATTCAATAATGTATTCCACTAATTACATTCCTGTCAGGAATAGTACTATTACTCAATCTGAATTATGAAAGTAGCTATTTCCTTCTGTAAATGTTCTATATAACGAGTATACTTAAGTATAATTATATTCAGAGAAGTTAACCGTGAATAACTGACAAAATTAAAAATTTCGCAGAACTGAACATACTGAAAGGAATATTCTCTATGATAATTTTAAAGCTTTCAGTAACTTAAGATGGTAATATTAATCTTTAAACAAAATTATGTTTATATAGATACTTCTTTCCCTGACTAAACTGTCCCTGCTGGGTTATTCATCAGATGCACAGTCTAAAATCTAAGATCTTGTTTTCGGACAAGAATCAATACTAATTAGAATATTAATAGAAATCGAAAATACAAATTAGCATTATATACAAATTCTAAAAATACAAATTATCAAGTATCTCTTTAAATATACGACGCAGCGCCACTGATAACCATATTAATCACACTTATAATCATTTGTGTCAAGTAGAACTTACACGAATGCCGTTTATCACTCAAAGTTTGAATATGACCCCTATTAAAAGACTATGGCTTTTCCACAACTCATTCTTCCAAATGGAATCGGAAACTATTTTTTGCTCTTTTTAACGTATCGTCAAGGTTTGTCTCATCATATTTTTGGGTCATGTTGTTATGTCATCTGACTCTTACTGATACGTGATATACGCTGTGAAAACTACCACACCCTCTATATTAAAATTAAAACTAGAATATTCTTAATTAATATTAGTATTAAAACACATTATGCTAACTTTTTACATTAATTTCATTATAATAATGAAAATGATATATTCCGTAGATTAGACATTATAAATATTTCATTCCTTTTTGTTGACTTACAGAGTGAAATTTTAAAATGTTCTTTTTTACGTTTTTGTTTTTCAAAAAGAAATTTTGCACATATACATTTTATAATATCAGTTTAACAAATATGTGTTAAAATTTTTAGTTTATTTTAAATTAAAAACTTCTAAAGCAAAAAAAATCTGATTTTTTAAATAAAAGTTTAGTATGTTGATTGAGCTCGAATTTCAATGCTTTAGCCTATTTTGCATTAAATTATTTAAAGAGCCTTAATAAAGGTACATGTATAATATTTTTTGAACCTGACAAACAATGAATTTTTAAAGATAATTTTTGAAAATTCAGATCCAGATTGGCAACAGTTCCATTTTTTCATGAAACATTATCAACTTGACGAACAACGAATTTTTAAAAATTATTTTTGCAAATTAAGATCCACATTGGCAAAAGTTCCACTTTTTGATGAAATATTATCACAGGTTTCAACTTCTTAATTATCTTATATCCAAACATATTTGACAATGTTAATTTACTGTAGTATATATCAAATATAAGCATTCATTTTTGTAGCATGTAACAACATAGATTCTTCTAAATATTTTGCTTTTCTTCATTCGTAACATAACATGAGACCCATACAGCTTTTCTAAAACATATGAGCTGCGAAAATATTTGCTTTGAGAAAACTTCATTTAAAACTTTCTTTAAACCACCTTCGTGAGATAACAATAGATTAGGCTTTTAGACGTACAAGCGAATGTTCAAACATTAGATACTATATCTTCTCGTTTATGTATTTTGACTTCAAAGTATTAAATATAATAAAAATATACATATTCTCACAATTAGCTACATATATGATTCTAAGACATAGATGGAAACAATTTGCTTCATTGATTATATCAATTGAAAATATTAAAGTCATCCACACGAGACATTTTACTTTAATTTGTAAGATTCAAATTTTATTTTAGTATGAAACATGTTTTTTTTTCAACTAGAAAAATTTTTTCCTCTGGTTCAGACGATACTGATCACGCTTTTCTACAGTTAATAGAGAAAACAAGTTTGCTACTTTATCTCGAATACTTATATAGCATTTACACGCCAGAAACTGTGTTACCAGACGTTGAATTCATTTGCAGTTGATAATACTAATATTTGTATTTATAATTACAAAGAATTAAATATATATATATATTATAACACCATTAGATAACTTTTGGCACATTTGGCTTACAATATCTTTGGACCATTGTGGGAAGGAATTAAAGTCAAAATAAACGTATTGCAAATCTCACTGGTGATGCGAAGAATTTTAGAAAGGCGACGTTTTCTTATATGCCGATAGGATCCTTTTATATTGCTGGACAAAAGGACTCATTTCCCTTCATAGATGGAGTTGTGATAACAGCAGCATTTTCAATAAAAATTTAATTTTTCTGGTCATACTTTTATCTATAGTGGCTCAACTAGCCGGGAAGAAGTAAGTAATTAACTGTTTTGCTTTAGAACACAATTTCACTCCATTAGTATGCAAATTTACTTAGAACATATTGTGATGAATTGACCGTCAACACACAACACTTAGCAGTTAGCAGTCACGTAATTATACATTTGAGGCTAAGGTTAAAAAAGAATTGCTTTTTCCAAAATATCAGAAAAAAGTAAAAATGGTAGACCAAAATAAAAATTTCTAAGAAAATTGAAAATAAAACTTTAAAACTTTTTAAAGTACTGAAAGCACTAGTGAAAACAATTATGTCTCTGCAATGCTTTTTTCCAGAATTCTATGACAAGAATGACTTTTCATGTCACAAGTTAGCTGTCTCTCTTCACAGCAATTGTCTTAAGACTGTCACTTCAGACTGAATATGTGTAGAGAGGAAATTTGATTGATAAAAAGATTATCCACAAAATTGCTATAGATGTCACATTGACGTGTGACAAAACTTATTTGTACTCACTTTCTTTTAAAATTTTAGCTGCTCTGCCCGTTCTCACTGCCACCAAAAAATTGAATTCCTGTCTTAGATCTTAGACAATTCAATTCGAATTTGAGGAACTTTGTGTGTGAATGTCAATTTTCTGATTGTTTTAGTATCCATTCATAGCAGCACGCTTGGAAGTGATAAAAAATTTTAATAATTTTTAAAATGTTCTAGAGAAGCCTGGTGTTGTTTCAGAAGAAACAATTTACTTAAGCTAATAGCTGAGTA